ATTATTAAGCATAAAGCCCAGAATCTGTAAAAATTAAAGTTCTTCCATTGAATATATAGTATATTGATCTCAATGTCTAGTGTAGGGATGACAAATTATGGTTTGTCAATATTGGTGTGAGATAAAATTTATCGAAACACGGGAATTTTAAAGTATGCTTTCACCTTAATGTTTTTCTTAAAAAATAAAAAAATTAGGTGATTGATCTAATAAATGTTTTTCAGGAGTTATAGAAGAGATCGAGTATTTTACTAAGTTTAATTTCCTTTTGGATTTTATAATGAATGTGAAAATTACTGAGTTGTAACATGGAATTAATATTCTGAAAATGAATCTAAGAATATATGCAACTACATTTCATGCTTTGAAATAGAGGGTTCATGATTACTACTTTACTTAGCAAAGCAATGGGGAGCTACAGAGTTAAAAATACTTCATCCTGCTACAATAATAAGCAGTTATGTCATCTATTATTTGCTTATATGACTTCAATATGAATCTTTGGATGGAATTTTTCTAATTTTTTTCAGATTATTACATTGGACTTTTAACTGAATTTTGATGTTTCCAACAATGTGTAATACACTTTTATAATTAGGAAAGATTTCATAAACATGTTTGTATAAAGAGATTTTTCAAATGTGTAAGAAATAAATATATGTTTAGTTAAAGACTTCAACCCCCTTCTACTTCTATTCTTCCCAAAAGAAAAACTACCTTCCTGTGCTAGGAGAAATAATCTCCATACATCAAGAATAGTCCAAAATGATGATGACTCGATGTCAGGGCACCACTGAATGCATCTTCACTTCCAAACTTGATTTAGAATGCTACCCAATAGTATATCAAGCTCCCATATATTTCATCATCTTATTTTTAGATTACCCATTGCATTGTATTGGTCTGTCTGTCTAGTCCTTAACTAATACCCCACTATCTGGACTGCTATAGATATAGGAGAACTATAGTAGGATGAGTCCAATGCCATTGTTATTGTTCTTCTCTCTGCCTCCTCCTTACTAGAATTGAAGTATTTCTTCCCCATTTTTTCCCTATGAATTTTACTATCTCTGTGTAACAGTCTATGTTTCAAAAGATTTCAGGATTTGGATGTATTTTTAATTGAAATTACACACTACTTTGAGATGATTTGTAATCTTTATGGTATTGAACCTTCCTGCTAGAAACCTAAGTCCATAATGTTATCTGATTTCAGAAATCAGAAATCTAAAATACAAAATTTTTAATGTATTTGCAAATTCTGACCAGAACTGATTCATTTTGTGGCAAACCATGATCTGATGTGATCTGAGACTTTAAATATCCTATTTACTGTGAATGTTGACACATTTAGCTATAGAAATACTACTGAACTTGAGGAAATGGTGATGCTCCAAACTCAGAGGGGGTACTTCCTATTATATAGTACATTTGTTTGAGTTTTTCACTGATGCACCATATACAAAAGCATACAAATTATAAGTATACAATTCATAAATTATCACAAAGTGAACCCATCTGAAACCACCATATAGATCAAGGAAGATAATAAAAAGCACCCAGAAGACTCCCTTGTGTCACCTCCCAAAGGAAACACATATTGACTCCTAACACTAGTTTTCTTGTGTTTCAACTTTCTAAAAGTGTAACTTGTACCATATTAATATAACAAGCAGAACAATTAGACGTTGGGTATATGAGAACTCTCTGTACCATCTTTGCCACATTTTTATAAAGCTAAAACTAAATGTTTATAAAATGTTTATTAAAAATGTTTCATAGGTCTGATTTCTGTCACTAAACACTATTATGTTTGTAAGATTTATCTAAGTTGTATATAACAATATTTGATTCATTTGCATTGAACAGTATACCATTCTATTCATATACAACAAATTATCAAATTCACTTATTTGTGTTGCTTTTAGTTTTTTGTTATCTGTGATAATGCTGCTAAGAACTGTTTTGTACAAGTTTTTTGGTAAATATATCCACACATATTCATCAAAGAAGGCTTTTGGTTATAGAAACTTAATTGTGGAAAAGTCTTAATTACATATTTAATTCCTGTCTAAGATATAGGATAATATAGATTTTCTGTTTCTTCTTGGGTAAAGTTCTGGCAAATTTTGTTTTAGGAATTTGTCCTTCATCTAACTTGTCAGATTTCTTGACACAAATATAATATTCCCTAATTACCTTTTTTTATGATTATAGGATCTGTACTTATGTCTACTTTGTCATTCTTGATACTGTTTATTTGTAACCCTTTTCCACCTTTAACCTTGTCTTGCCTGGGCTCTATCAATTTAACATCTTCAGATTTAGTCTTCTCCACTGCATGATTATTTTCTATTTCATTATTTCTGTCTTTATCATTCTTTCCCTTTGCTCCCTTTTGGTCTAATTTGCTGATTTTTTGGGTAACCTTTTGAGGTTGCTACTTTGAAACTTGCTTTATAGCTTAGCATGAAGTCTATCTGTATAAATGCTTCAAGTTCATTTGAAGAAAATGAATTTTTCAGTTGTTGGGTACAGCATCTTATCTATATAAATTAGATCAAATGTGTTTTGTTCAAACCTATACATCCTTATTGACTTATCTATGTATTCTTTCACCTGCTGAGGGAAAATGGTTAAAATTTCTCACTATGATTTTGGATTTTAGTTCTGTTGGCTTATTAAATGAGGCTATGATTTTTGGTACATACAAATGTGTATCATGATAGATTCACCTTTTTAAAAATTTTTTATTATGTTAATCATAGATTCACTTTTAAGCAATAATTTTTAACTATCTACTTTGTCTGATACTGTACCAATATAATATCTTTTTGTATTAATTTCCATTCAAATCTCACTCTATATCCTTACCTGTATGGTGTTCCAACTACAAGTGTTTAAAAAAAATTGGTCTCACAATGTTTGTCTTTTTTTAACTGGATAATGTGCTGCACTTACATATAAATGGTTTTGGTAGATTCTATTTCTTTACAATTCTTTGTGAGCTAAGTATACAACCTGCTTCATTGACTTAAGGTTTTCTCCATTTGTCTTTTGACCTTTGAGACGTACATAAAATTATCTCTGCCTCTTGCCCACTGCTCTGTCATGGAACATCATATCTCAGATAAGACGAGCTCTTTGAATCTGAGTCTCAGAGTAAGAAGACAGGAGGGACAAACCAGATCCCAACCCATAGCCTGGAGCTGAACTGACACAGTCTGCCCTCTAGTTGCTAATAAGCAGTGAGAGCAAGAAACACTTTTGCAAGCCACAGGGATTTTGAGGCTGTGTGTATCCTAATGAAAGGGGATTAATCTAGAAAATCATACCAGAAATGTGGTATTGCTATAAAAAATAGCAAATATGTGTCTGTTACCTTCTGAGTTGGGAAAATTGTTACAGGAACCTGAAAACTAAATGGCAACACATGGTATGCAGTGTCAAAGCATTTGGTAAGACTGTCACCTGTGATTCCTTGGAAATCAGACAAGTTAATAAATGTATGACTTTGTCTAATTGCTGGTAAGACAGAATCTTAATAACTTTAGTTGGTTGCTTTTATCTGCATTTCTTTAGTTACTAAAAGATAGAAATGAGCTTGAAAAAGGATGGGTGTGTTTGCCAGCAGGAATGAAAGCCCTTAGTGAGGCTGATCTTTCAAAGAAAGACTAAAAAGGACCTGGCTTTGAAATCAGACACCTTTTTATATCCCAGCTCAATCATTTATTACAGCATGGTGTATCAGTTAAGAAAAAGTGGTTTATGTTCCGGTTACAAACAACTCCAAAATGTCATCAGCTTTAAGCTGATGAACTTTAACAAAGTTCCTTAGTTATGCCTGGTGAATATACCCACCCTGGTGAACTGGGTGCTCTACTCCCCATAGTCCTGGTCACGGTCACTCAGGGGTACAGGCTGATGGAGTCTCCAATTCACCATACACTTCCATTTGGCAGGAAATATGAACATATCAATATATACACGTGAGTAAATTTAATAAATAGACCAAGTATGGACAAAGAGGCCATCAGAACATATTGAGTCAAAGCAGCCTTATCCTGCTTTCTTCAAGCCAGTGTGAATAATCTAGTGGAGCTTAATGGGAATGCTAAAGTTTGAGCAGGATTATTAGCACCCAGCTACAGTGTCACATAATCTCCTGTACATCACTTACGTTTGCATCTTAATGCATACTTTTTAAATCCAGGTATTTTTTATTAATCATCCTTTCTCCTCTAGTGGTGACTTAGGTACCAGGCACTGTAGTAGACATTAAAGAGATGTTAAGGCACAGTTCCTGATCTCAGTCAGTTTATCATCCCTAGAGGACCCATTACAATAACATGCACCACCACCTAGTTTAGTGCCACACAACCTGGGTAGACCTCTAACCATGCTCTGAAGTGTTTAGCTAGAGACTTATAATGGTGGTGTTTGGCTTTTGTTTTCTTTTGTCAGAAGATCATTTCTCAAGTTCATGGCAACTTCATTCTGGCTTATTCTTAACTGAAAGCTCTGGACTATAATTAACAACAGTAGTTATAAAGCTTTCAATATGTACTCAGCAACATTATCTGTAAAAGGCACATTAGACACACTAACAAAAAGCCCTGGGGGCAGGTGTCATTATTCTAGATTACAAATGAGAAAACTGAGGCCAAAAAGGTTAAGAAATTTACCCAAGTTTGCAAAACTCAAATGTGGGAGAGCTGAAACTCAGAAATGAAGCAGTTTTACTCTAAAGCCATGGTTTTGACCACTGTGCTATGTTACCTTTTTTTAAAGTCTGGAGAATTGATTTTTAATAAGTTCTAATCAGTTGCCCTTTTAGAGATTCTGATTTCTCATTTGTTCTTCAAGTTAAGAAATTCTAGAAACCTTCCTTTACAACAAATTCTATTTTCTTTTCATATAACATGCCCATAGTCCTGATAGTTTTTGACTTAAGCATCTCTTCCTTTCTCTCTTTTTACTATCATTTATTTTTCCCTTAGGTCTCTACAGAAGAAGGCTTGAGTCTGGCCAGGGAATATAACTGTGCTTTTTTTGAGACCTCTGCGGCTCTCAGATTCTGCATTGATGATGCCTTTCATGGTCTAGTGAGGGAAATCCGCAAGAAAGAGTCCATGCCATCCTTGATGGAAAAGAAACTGAAGAGAAAAGACAGCCTGTGGAAGAAGTTAAAAGGCTCATTGAAGAAGAAGAAAGAAAACATGACATGATATCCTTGCTTCTAACTCCCTTATTCTCTCTCTGAATTTTATCAGTTGGACAATTCCAGATGTTGCATTCTGCTTCAATATTTTCTGTGTCTCTCTCCCTTTCTTTTTAAATATCTGCCTATAGGTAAAAGCAAGATTTGCATAACTGTACCTCTTGAGATAGTTTTCTTTTGCCCTTAACAGTTGGATGGATTTTGTCAATCAGCTGGATATGCTGTTTAAGTTTTTACAATATATTACTAAATAAAATTGACATTCCAATTGCCTCATTTCCCTTTAAGAGTCTGGCTTCATTTAGTATGCTGTCTGGTTATAGAGGAAATTCAGAATTGCAGACAGAATGATAAAAGGCTCAGGGGATCTGCCTTTGCCTGATAAGACTCTGATTGTTTGCATTTCAGGAATCTCAGTAAATAATGAAGCTAGGGAAACAATTCAGAGCAGGAGTCTGCAGCCCTGTCTTTCCTTAACTGTAGAAGTCTTGGTGCTTTTTTGTGAAGATAAACCTTAGAGGAATTATTGAATAAAAGGAACCAGTTGTGGGTTGTTGGAGGGCTGAAAGGAAATATCCCCGTATTTGCAGTGCTCTGCCCTGTTAGGCTTTGGCAAAATTATCACAGTGAAGTTGCTGAGCTGTGGTAAAAGGACACTGTCTTTGTAGCAGACAGAGAGAGGCTAATAGGAACTTGGTGGCTCTGATACTCATAAAGAGATACCCTGCTTCCTCGCAGTGGGAGTCCCTCCTAGGACCGCTTCACCTATACTGGGACCAATCACCCATAGGGCAAGAACATTGTTGATCCAGAGACCCTATATTCTCCTTATGTTGCCATAATTTCCTTCTCTTCTTACTCAAACCATGAAACACCAGCAGTTAGAGGGCTCTTTTTCTGATTTGTTTACAAAAGATCATCATGGAAAATGAAATTGTCTATTCCTTCATTGATCCCACTGTGTGATTTGGTTTATTCAAATTCAAGCTCAGAAAGCACCTTACCTGAACAGTTCTGAATGTTTAACAGACAAGTATTAAATAATAGTTAAATATGAGATGGAATCCATCCAACCAGTCTTCATGGGTTGGGGACAGTTTTTATCATAAATCAGAGAAAAGGAAGGATGAGGGCATAGTTATACAACATGTAAACACTTATTCTTTTATTCACAATGCCCCTAGAACTTGTTAATCTCTGAAAATGCAGGAATGACTCAAGGCAGCTTAACATATAGTTGGAAAACTCACTTGGCTGAAGAACAGTGGGATTATACATTATGAGATGAGAGGACACATTTTACATAGTAACATAGATACAACTGGAAGGAATTAAGAGATCATAAATTTTCAACTGATGGACTAAAATTTCAGCCTTTCAGAATAGTGTACTTGTGGGTCCTTTTACTGCTTGGAACCAAGGCCTTTGTCAAAACCACAGGGACTTCATTGCTTTTGCTCCTATGCACTAGGCATGCAATTAAATGCTGCCAAGTCTCTCCCTTTGGAGTTTTCTCAACCCTCATATTCTATGGTGTAGGACAAAAAGTAATCAGTTTTTCCCATTCCATAGCATCCTAAAACCAAATTCACTTCATCTTTTCATTCTCAGGCATTCCTAATTAGGGGAAATAACAAATTTTAAAAAAGAATACATGGAGATGATATAAAGCTATTCTTATGGTTACAGAACTGGTCTTTGCTTCCTCCTGTCCTTGGTGCTGAATGTTTAATACTCTGTTTTTGTCCTGTTAAAAAGGGGTTAGTACGTTCTTTGTCTCCTGTATATTCTTTTCATCCTGGAGCCCCTGACCTTCCAGAACCTTTCCATGTCTGAGAAGACCCTGTGCGTATTATATTCCATCAGACTCTTCTGTTTGCTAGAAGATGCAATCTAGGAAACATAGTACTTGACACTTAGTTTTATATGATGGAACTACATCGTTGAAAACCTGATGAGTGCCCAATCTATGAATACTAATACTGTTTGGTTCATTTCCTAATACAACTGTCTTTATAAATTTTATTACTGTAAGCTCCACTGCCTTTGGCTCTAGAGCTTTGTATCTCTTTTACTCCTTTTCTTTCTTTATACTCCATGAGTATTAATAAGTTATTTATTTATTTTAGAAATTTTAGTGAAGTTTGGGTTGGGTAACACTTGCCAAGTCCTACCATTTCACTCTATAGAAGGAAGGAGGGTCTGTAATTTATCACCTGGAGGCTACATGACTTTGAGATAGTTATTACAAGCAGAGATGAAGGCAGACTTCAGGCATTGTTTTAAACCAGTCTTCCTCCTGGAAGACTGGGCAGAAGGAAATGTTCCAGAAGAATAAAACCTACATATTTCTGCCCAAGGGCTATTGATTCACTCTCTTCATGTAAGACCGAAATGCTAAGATCTTGTTTTTGATCATTATCCCTGAAAACTTCCAACCAGACCTAGAATATCTAAGTCAATCTCAAAAGCTCAGAGAAGAAAACCGCAAAGTATACATGCCTGCATTGCTAAGGGAGTGTCAAGAAACTCTTGAAAATAAGCATCCATGTCCATTGTAGATGAATGTGTAATCACCCAACACAATTTATCAAATAGTGACTAAATGCCTACTATGTACCAAGCACTTTTCTAGATACCACACTCATGTATATATGTGTGTGTGTGTGTGTGTGTTTGAGTTTAACAAGGCACTTAGGAAATTCTAAATACAATTTCCTACCATCCAGAAATGTATCATCTATCTATTTTTAGGGGTTTTTAACTTATCTTGTGGGTCCCCATGATAAAATAATTTCTCAGATCAGAGACAATAGCAGTCTAAAATACTAGATTTTGTGTTCAGTAGGTATAGGTTGAGCTTGGGAACTTTCACAGAAAATGCCAGTGAGGAAAAAACATGGGCACTTTGGTCAAACATTACTCATATCATACTCCAATGTGCAAGGAACAAATAGCTACTTTATTTCTAACTCATCTATTCCTTCTCACAAGCCTCTGACTAATGGGTAACTGGGGCAGGGGTAGTAATTTTAATTCAGTGAAGTAATTTAGTGCTAATATGAGGTAATAATTTAAGAAATATCTTTAAATAATAAAACCTCTGCATCATGTACTTAGGTTAGTGTTTGATCATTCAAATTTCTGCCCTGTTTCCTTTCCTTTCTAAAACTGTATGTGGGTACAGGGAAAAGGCAAGGCTTACATGATCTCATGGCAGCAGAATTCCTTCCTCATCTTCTAAGTCCTGTAGTATCCTCATCACCCTCTTTAATCTTTTTAACCAAGGGTCTGCCAACAAATTGGACAACTTAGAAGAAATGGATGTCCTTAGAAACATATAACCTACCAAAACTAAATTAGGAAGAAATAGAAACTTTGAACAGATTGATTACCAGCATTGAAATCAGTAATCAAAAAACTCCCAACAAACAAAAATCCAGGACCAGCTGCCTTCACAGGGGAATTCCACCAAACATCTCAAGAAGAGTTAATACCTATTCTTCTCAAACTATTCCAAAAAATAGAAGAGGAAGGAAAACTTCCAAATTCATTCAATGAGGCCAGCATTACCCCGACACCAAAACCAGATAAGGGAACCAAAAAAAAAAAAAAAACTACAGGCCAATATATTTGATGAACATAGATGCAAAAATCCTCAACAAAATACTAGCGAACTGAATCCAATGACACATTTAAAAAAATCATACATCACGATCAAGTGGGATTTATTCCTGGGATGCAAGGATGATTTAATATTCACAAAACAATTAACATGATACATCACATCAATAAAAGAAAGGATAAAAACCTCATGATCATTTCAATAGATACAGAAAAAGCACTCAACAAAGTACAACATCCACTCATGATAAAAACCCTCAACAACACAGGTTTAGAGAGAACATAGCTCAATGTAATAAAGGCCTTATATGAAAAACCCATAGCTAACATCATACTCAATGGTGAAAAACTAAGAGCTTTTCCCCTAAGGTCAGGAATAAGACAGGATGTCCACTCTCACCACTTTCATTCAACATAGTACTGGAAGTCCCAGCCACAGCAATCAGACAACATAAAGAAATAAAAATTACTAAATTGGTAAGGAAAAAGTAAAACTCTATTTGCAGATGATACTATGTACAGAAAACCCTAAAGACTCCATCAAAAAACTACTAGAACTGATAATGAATTCAGTAAAGTGATAGATACAAAAATCAATGTATAAAGGTCTGGCCTGATTCTTTTTTTTTTTAATTTATTGTCATAATACCATTTGACATTGACATATACCCTCTCAATAAATTTTTAACTATACAATATATTACTGCTGACCAGAGGTAAAATGTTGTACATCAGATCTCTAGAGCTTATTCATCTTGTTTGAAACCTTATGGCCTTTGATTCGTAACTCCCACTTCCCCGTCCCTGCAGTCCCTGGCAACCATATGATCCTGTTACCAGACTGGTTGACTCTGAGGTATGCTGAAGGTAGTCACGTTGGGCCATGGTAAATGGGTACTTTCTACTGGTGTTCATGAAATTGCTCTTTGCCTTTGGATCTCAAGGTCCTTCCCAACACAGTATCTTTACTCTGACTCCAGGTCTTTTCCTGGCACATCTACCAGCACCTGTGCCTCTCTTTGGGATCCCTCTCATGCCACACCGAGGCCATGGGGATTCCTGAGCACTGCCTCAGTAAAGCTTTGCAGCTCTGCCCCCAACCTCTACTGAACTCATGTGGGGCTGCCCCAAGGAATCTAGCTTACTCCTAGTATTAATTAGCAAAAGTGATATACAAGCATAGATCAATTAGAATGTCCCATATCAGCTATAAACACTAAGTGTGTCCATGACCGTGGGAAACTTGGTTACTAGCCCAAGTTCTCAAACTTCCCTGTCATTGGTCATAAGGAACCTCCCACCATTAGTCAGCCAGAGGGACCTGGGGTGTGGGATTAGGAAGAGCATCCTGATGTATAGTCCATTTGCTTTTTAGTGTCTCTCTTCCACAAGCCATCTGCTGGAAGGGAATAGGCTGTGTGCTTTTCTTTTCTCTAAGTTATCCTTTAACAACATGCTGGCATGCAAAATAAACAAGAAGACAGAATTTAATAGTCCAAGATGATAAATGTCTTGCTTGTTATAGGTGGCTTCTATTCTTCTTCTGAAGCACCAAAATCTACTGCTTC